ATGTTCCCCTTCCAAGGCACCAAGGTGGGAAGTGAGTCACTGAGTCAAGTAGGAATATTTTCACTTCTCTGCCTAAAACTCATTAATAAATCAAAATCATCAGGAGTTGCCTAAATAAAATCTCACTCCCCCTTTCTATTCCTGTATATTCTGTGCATTTGGAATTACTCCAAATTCCAAAATGGAAATAAAAGTACTTATCTTATGAGGTTGTTGGCAGGATTAAATCATTTGAGCTTTGTTTATCCAAAGTTGGGGACTGTTAAATAAAAATTACAGGAGGCCATTGTTTTGGACTAAGCTCCTATACTAGACCAGACTAAAAATCAAAACAGAGTCACCCCTGCTAAATTCCATGTCACCAAACCCAAACTAAGTTGTCATCTGACCTTCCCAGAAATCAGGAGAGAGAGAGAACAGCAAGTTCCCAAACATGCCACTTAAAATCTTCAATTGGCATGATAATGAAGTTTCCTCTGCTTTAATCTTTACACATAAAAGATACCCTGAAGTAACCTGATGTTAACCAGTTATTTTTCCATTGTTCTGTACCCCTGATTCCCCCTTACAAGGAAAGTAACTCTGAAATGACCAATCCATTTTTTCTTGTTTCTGCTTTTGTAGCCCCTTTTCTTTCTACAAAGCCAACCTCTTTTGCTCAGTTCATTGGAACCCTTACTCTATTTCATGGAATGAAGTATTGCCTGATTCTAGAACTGCAACAAAGCCAGCTGAGAACTTTAAATCTGATGTTAATTTTGTTCCTTGACAGGACCCAGTTATTAACATGTTTGAATAGATGTAAACTTAAGACTTAAGAATCCAACTTCTAAAAATCTAAGTGCATAGACAGGGACACTTTGACAGCATCTGTAGAAATATCTTACAAAGTAGAAAATAATCAGAACTTCACAAAAATTAGTATTGAAAAATCAGAATTTTAAATAAAAATATAAAAGAAACCATCAGTATTGACCCTCACATATCCTTAGGATTATACAACCAAAGATGCTTCAACTAATACTATTTGTGTAGCCTTGGGCAGGACATTTCACCTTTTCAGAGGTGGCTTCTCTTTTAGGAGAAGTCAACATATCCAAGTACCTTAGATATATAAATTTCTATGTCTCAGTGTTGTTCTTTGAGCTAAAAACAGTTTTGCCTAGTTGGATGTTTTAAACATAGCTTAAAAACAAACAAAATTATTTCCTGAACAGCTTCAAAAAGTATCTAAAACTGACCCAGATATTTTGGGGGTAGTAAATGATAGATATAAGACACTCCATGAACTCAAGGAATTCACAATCAAATTAAGGAATCAATATTACAAATTATGCAAATATTAGCAAATTCACAAGGTATTGCATAAATATTTGCTAAGTCACACGGAATAATCAGACAGTTTCAAAGAGAATGGAGGACTTCAAGGTAAGGCTTGGAGGAAGGGAAGAGTGTAAATCACTGGAAGAAAGGGCATAGGACAAAGAATACAAAGTCTATGTTATTTCTTTTCAAAGTCTACGTTCTTTCTTTAATTTTAGTCCTGACTTTGTGACCCGAACAAGCCATTTATCACTTTTGCTCCTCAATGAATCCACAATTATTGAAAGCCTATTATATGTAAGGTATTGTGCTTCACTTAAATAATGAAGATTTTCCAATTAAAGAAAAAGGGGAAACTGATTTAAGATTAAACAAGACCTAGCTGAAAAAAATAACTCCAAGTTCATGTGACATTAGTATTATAAAACAAGCTAAGTCTTTTTTTTT